CTTGACAAGTCTACTCTCTCTCTCATACACACACACACGCGCATTATATACACACTACATATATAGATAGATCTATAGCTAGACATCTATGGATAAGATATAGATATAGAGATCTCTATCTATATATAAATGTATATCTATAGATATAAATCTGCATGGATAGATCTCTATCTACACATACAGGTATGTTTTTGTGCACTCTCTCTTCTCCATGCCTCCACTGACCATAGGCTTTCTTTAGCACACACAAATATACACGCATGTGTGTACACTCTCTATCTACATATGTATATCTATATCGAGAGAGAGAGAGAGAGAGAGTGTGCATGCATGTACACATGTATATCTACTTGTGTCATATATAACACAGAGACAGACACAGATACATGTAGAGCACACGTATACGCAGACACGGCACATGTGTGTACAGACATGTAGGGAGCGTGGGTGCACCCAAGCTGCGCAGCTCCCCAGAGCCGGGGCTGGGGCTACAGTGACTGCACTTGGTGCTCACCAGGCTGCAGCTTAAGCCGGAGCAGGGTCCGGGCCCCGGGGCAGGCCGGGGGTGCAGCGCGGGGTGTGCCAGGCCTGCAGCCGGGAGGGTGTGCTTTGGGGTGGGTGTGTGCGTCCAGGCCCGGGGGGAGATGCCCCCCGGGAGTCCGCCCCGCCCCCCCCTACCTGCTTGAGCTTGCCCTCGATCTCCCTGCGCCGCGCGGACACCTCCTCCGTGGGGACCATCCCGCCAAACAGCCCGGGCCGCAGCAGCCTCCACAGCCCACTTCCGCCCGACCCGGCCGCGGCCCCGTCACCGCCGCGCCGCCATCTTGAGAGTGGCAACCCCCTGTCCTTACAGCGTTGGCAGCCATCTTGGGAGTGGCAGGAACCGGAGCACAGGTGCGCTGCATGGAGACGCAAGGTGCATGCGCGCCTCCAGGGAGCGGCCATATTGGGAGTGGCAGTGGCCCGGGGGAGGCCACCTTAGGAGTGTCGTTGCTTTCCAGGAGTGTTGACTGCATGCATCCCTAGTGATGAGTAGGGAGCAGATGAGGAATATGCTGTGCGTGCCATGCCTTGGCGGTTGCACCCTTTCCTGCCTCCGGTAGAACAG